TGGTTAAGCCTGGCTGTGGATAAAGTAGAACGTCCAAGAAATGATCCAGAGGTCTGATACATGTGCCAGGGCATCTGCGAGTCTTATCATTGAGCATAGTTACATCTACATTGAACCTGAGCTCAAAAATGAAGGCCTGGAATGAAAAGCACTTAATGAGTCTGCTCAGTAGGGGCACAACCCCTCCCTGTTTCAATGACATTATCTGGATCAAGAATTGACACAAAATATCAACAGAGTTGGAACAAATGATATGTCTAGTATATCAATACTTAAATTATGATGAAAATGTAAAAATGTTTTGTTATAAAGATTGGGGGTCCCTGTAATGGTAGCATGCTTTATGGCAAAATATAGATTCTTATATTATTTCATTTGTGAGTATTCATTACTGTTATTCACATGTATTTGCTTTTATTCACACCAGTGTATTTCCCTAGCCTCAGATGGACCCCAGACTACCCCAGACAGGGTCATGTTTCTCATGTACCCTAAGAACATTTATCAAAGTCGTGATTTTACATTTACATATTTACAAATTTACATTTATGTATATGTAATTTTACATTGTGTTGATTTTTCTGATTATATTATAAGCCTTGTTAGGGATAATGTCTTTTTACTTGTGATTTATAAACACAAGATATTTACTGAACATTTGATTAATTAATTATAGTGAACTTTTTTTTTGATTAATTAGTTGGCTACTCATGTGATACCTGAAATCATATATGAAAGGCTTATGTTATGAACATGAATCAGGACTGAAACATTAATGTTCTTGCCGCTGTCCTTAGGGCACTAGTCTGACCTTGATTGACCTCCCTGGCCACGAGAGCTTGAGACTTCAGTTCTTAGAGCGGTTTAAGGCTTCAGCCAGGTAAGTAGGAAGTGGAATGGGCTTGTCTGAAATCTGTATATAAAGGCCACCCATGTTGTTTGCTCTGGTGGTGTTCAGAAGGCAGCTTGATATCCTAGAGTGGGAAGAGCATGGACCTCCATGAACCCTGGGGTCAGCCATTTCTGAGTGGCATGCCTACGTTTGCTAGGATTTCATGAGAATTTTATGAGATAATGTTTGAAAGTGTTACTGTGTTGGTACACTTTTTTGTGTACCATCTTACCTTGCATTCTCCTAGGCATGATGTTCCTTCCACTCCTTTGTGCCTTGCACAGACTACTTTCCAGACAGTCTGTGCCCCAATTTTTAGTCTGGCTAAAATTCAGCTCAACTGTTATATCCTCCCTTAAGTCTTCTTGACTCGGTCTCATGTAAATGATCTTCCTCTTTGTTCCTGTGACAGCGAGTACATAGATCTGTCTTTGTATTTTATCATACAGTTTTGTTTATGGCATTTTCCTTGTCTTTGAGAGCAGGCATCATTTCCTGTTGTCTTCATAGATACAGTCATTGATACATAGTGGTACCCAGTAGTCCTTTGTTAAGTGAGCACAGTGTGTCCTCTGCATCCATAGGTTCCTCATCCTCTGGTTTAGCCAACTGTGGGTTCAGCCAACCAAAGATTGAAAATATTTGAGGGGAAAATGTTATGCTGTTGCTGATGTGTGTGCTATGTAGTTAGACCTGTGGTGGTTGTGTCTGTACTAAACATGTACAGACTTTTTTCCTTGTCATTTTCCCCTAAACAACACATAACAACTCTTTTCATAGCATTTACATTGTATTACATATTAAAACTAATCTAGAGGTGATTTAAAATTACGAGAGGATGTGCATAGGTTATATGCAAATACTATACCATTTTATATAAGGGACTTGAACATCCATGGAGTTTGGTATCCATTGCGGGGGGTGGAACCTGGAACCAGTCCTGCTGCAGATACAGTGCAATGACTGTTGTTGTGTGACCACCTGTGCACATACCTGCATGTGAGTCTGTTATTCATTAGGATTGAATTGGACAAAATTAAGGATATAGTTTTTCAACATAATGCTGCACTATTGCATGCTCACATCCTTGTTTTTCTTTTTCCCCCTCCAGAGCTGTTGTGTTTGTTGTGGATAGTGCAGCCTTTCAGCGAGAGGTGAAAGATGTGGCCGAGTTTCTGTATCAAGTTCTCATTGACAGTATGAGTTTGAAGAACACACCGTCATTCTTAATTGCCTGCAATAAGCAAGGTGCCATCTGTTTTTTGGCTCTAATAACTGACATTTTTTTCTGAGATTGCAACTAAGAATTACTATAGTTTTTACCTACAATTGTTATTATTTGGTTGAGAGGCAGTTGCTAATGAACTATAAACTGAAGGATTTTTAAGTCTTAAAGTATTTACTCCTGCATTTTCATTAGTCTTAATAGGCTGTTCTAAGGAATGACAAAGGAATCATGTTACTTTACCTAGTTAAGTTCCTCCAATTGACAGTTCGTCATATCAGGTAAACAGTTGTGGAGGAACAGATGAAGTCTCTCAAACTAGTTTACCATCTACCATATTTCATCAAAGGGAGTTTGCACTAGTTGTTTTTCTTTAGCCCAATAACCATTAAAAATGTTTAATCACACCCAACAAACCAGGCTTCAGTTTCATTACCTCTAAAGTAAAATAAGCTAGTTGATCTTTACAGGCCTCTTTTCAGATCTAAAATTCTGATTCTCTGAAAAGCCCAACTCATTTCTCAGAAGTGATCAGGTAATAATACTAACAATGCCTAATCAAGAATTGGTCTTTGCATCATTACCTGACCTTCTCTTTATTTCTTCTATTTAGCGTGAGGAGAAGAGGTAATATTTTTTTGGCTTCTGCTGTATATCCAGCCAGCACTTGTTTCTTACCAATGTGCACTTGATGCTGTAACATACCATCTTCATATCAGCTGGAAATGTGCTTGGTTTACTTTTATGTGACAGGTTATTTCTGTTGGAGGGAAGGCTCTTGTTACAATCATTAAGCTGACAGGTTTTCTTTTTGTTACACTGGCTGGATTTATATATATGTTGATTTAAAAGATCTAAGGTGTGGAAAACTTTGATGATAGAGCTAGTCAATTTTAGAGTCACTAGCTTAATATATTTATAAGCATTATTGTAGGAAAACCCATACATGCAAATATAAAGCTTATTTTGATAATGAAGCCACTAGTGATAAGAAGCTCTTTAAAAAAGGGAGTGGGGGAAGAAACTTAATGGTTTAAATGGGTATTTTCCATGTGTGCAAGAAGTTTTGGGAAAAGACCCTTTCCGGTTTAAACTACAACGTCTTTATTTCTTTACAGACATTACAATGGCAAAATCAGCAAAGTTAATTCAGCAACAGCTTGAGAAGGAACTGTAAGTATGAATAAATCCTACTGGTTAATTCTGTATTGTAACACTTAGGAAATGGCTGCCTGAGGTCTTTAGTATACAATTATCACAGCCTGAGGTTAGTGTGAAATATACTTGTTAAATAACTGAAAAAAAGAATTAATGGAATTATAAAAAGCATTAATAGAATATTTATAGATAATTTAAATTTTTATGGAAAAAAAGTCTGAGGTTATTGAGACTGTAAGCTCAATTTATTTCCCTACTGTTTGTAGCTCCTTTGTAGTAGATGTGAAAGGTCTTAGAAACTAAAAAATTTGAAAGCCATGGAAATTTTTGTTGACAGCATAAGAAAGGAACACTTTGAAAGAATATAAAAATCTATGATTCTGTTTTGTAGCTTGATTATTTTCAAACTATGTGGCAATATTATTTAGCTTGATTTTGGTGTTTAAAAATTTATAAATTGAGCTATACAGCCTTTTGAATTTTAAGGAATCTAGCAAGTCCTTGTGTTCTGCCAGTTTGTAAGCTAGCTAACAGCTCGCTTACATAGGGGATACCATCTAGCATTGTAATAAACAAGTAATGTTTTCTTACTGCTGTTGTGTAAGGAGTTTTTTATGAAAGAAAAGAATCTGATGAGGAAAACTGTATAAATTCAGCTTTTAGAACATTTTCCCCCACTACGATTTACTTAGTCATTTATTCATTTAACAAGCACTCGTGCTTCATCTAGCGTGTGCCATGCTCTGCACTTGGGATGTGGCTGTAGGAAGAAGGGTGATGTAGTTTCTGTACGCAGGAGCTTAAGAGTCTAGTAGAATATGTTTTGCTTCAGAGGCTGACAAACTCCTCCTTTGAGTCTGCAAGCAAAGAGTCGTTTTATATTTTTAAAGAGCAGGTAAAAAAAAAAAAAGGAAAATATATGCAGATGTTATATGTCATCCACAAGCCCAAAATATTTAATTTATTGCTCTTTACAGAAAAATTTTACCAGCCCTGGTCTTTGGTCTGGCATTTTCTGTGGCATCTTTTTTTCCCCTTTTAATTGAGAATGACACATTTATTTCTACATGCTTTAAATGTTTTAATATATAAATAGAAGAGTAAAGTAAGCCATTTAATCAGATTTATCAAAGACATCATGCTTCAAATTGAACATCAAAAGAAAAATTTTAAACCCATTTAATGAAATATATAATTGGCATGTTAAAAGTTGTACATACAGCTCAATGCATTTGGGGATAATTGTACACCTATAAAACCATCACCAACATCAAGGCCATAAAAATATCCATTACTTCCAAAGTTTCCTCCTGCCCTCTTTAAATTTGTGTATGAGTGTTTTAGGAGAACACTTAACATAAGATCTACCTATTAGCAAATTTTAAGTATATAATGTATTATTGTTAGATATAGACTATGCTGTGTGATAGAGCTCTAGCACTTATTTATTTGCATAACTAAAACTTTATACCCTTTGACCATAAACTCTCCATTTCCCCCTCCCTGCTGTCCTTGGTAACTACCAGGCTATTCTTTGATTTTATGTGTTTGACTCTTTTAGATTGCATATATAAGTTTGATCATATAGTATTTATCTTACTGTGTCCATGTCTTTTATTTCCGTTAGCATAATGTCCTCTAGGTCAAGGGTCCCCTGGGCCACAGATCGGTACTGGTGCGTGGCCTGTTAGGAACTAGGCTGCCCAGCAGGAAGTGAGCGGTGGGCAAGCAAGTGAAGCTTCATTTGTATTTGCAGCTGCTCCCCAGCGCTAGCATCACCACCTCAGCTCTACCTTAAATCATTAGGCATTAGATTCTCATAGGAGAATTGGTCCCTGGTGCCAGAAAGGTTGTATATATATATATAACACATATATTGAGTTTAAAGAATACTAGGTCCATCTGTGTTGCAAATGGCAGGATTTCCTTTTCCAGGGCTGAATAATATTCCGTTGTATATATGTTCTACCTTTTTCTTACCCATTTATTCTTTGATGGGCATTTAGGTTGCTTCCATATATTGGCTATTGTGAATAATGCTTCAATGAACACAGTAGTGCAGGTACCTCTTCAAGATCCTGATTTCAGTTCCTTTGGATAAATACCCAAAAATGGAATTGCTGGATCATATGGTAGTAGTTCTGTTTGTAATTTTGAGTCATAGTTATTTTTAATACTTTTGTATTAAGCTTTCATGCTAGAGTTAAAAGTGATTTTAATGCATCACCATTACAGTATTAGAATATTCTGAATTTGAGTATATTCTTACTGTTATAGAGACTTTTATACTTTCATATGTTTGAATATTGTTAATTAGCATCCTTTCTTTTCACCTTGAAAAACTCCCTTTAGAATTTTTTAAGGCAGGCGTAGTGGTGCTGCACCCAGGAGCTATAATCTCTAATCTAGATTCCTTAGCACTCATGAAATTATTTTCATGCACGAGTGATTATTCAAATTGATGTTTTTATAAGAGAACCTGTGCTGGAAACTCCTATTCTGCCATCTTGCTGATGTCACTCTATCAGTGGTTTCTCTCCCTTCTGAAATTACACGTTTATCATCTCTTCCCATACTCTTGATGCTCACTCTCTTGAGACTATGTATTGCTTGTCATTAGGCTAAGGAAATTGAAACAATAAGATGATTTCGTTTTTCTGAAAATTCTGTTGCAATCGTTGGAAATTATCTTTGGGGAAAAAAGCAATCATTAATTTTTTTAAGTTTATTTCAAGTCTTACCATGTTTAAAACATATGTTTTCCTCAGTCCACTTGCTTTTCACTGTAAAGAGACATAGAAAAACAATATGGAAGGAAATGCTGTATTGAAAGGAAGTGAAGTAAAATGTTAAAAAGTTGTAAAGGTTAGTATCAGTTAAATTAGGAGTCTAATTTTGATGTAATCCTGTGTTAGTGAGAATTAGGCCCTGTCAGCTTTGAAGCATTTCACAGTCTTCTGAATAACAAGGTTTACTATATTTACGTGGCCTTATGGCAAGAGCCGAATACATGTAACGTTTGGCTTTTTTTCCTTTTAAGTTTTATTTTAAAATATATATAAAGGAATGTATATAACACATATATTGAGTTTAAAGAATACTAAAATGAATACCCATGAACCCACCACTTTGCTTACGTGCTCCTTCCCAAAAGCTTTTCCCTTTCCCCCACTAAAAGGTAATATCTTGATTTTGTATTATTTTTTAAAATACTTTGTCCGTATATATTTGTGTTTCTTTCTAAACAAGGTATCATTTCGTTTTTCTTGTGGATTCTTCACTAATTTTCATGCAATGTTACAACACCAAGAAATGCTTTATTTCGTAAGAAAACAGATTGGTAGTATGTATACCTCTGCTTCTGGATAACAGAGAAGGTGGGAGAAATAGACATTGCTTATGCACTCTTTATTAGGGCCAGCAGGTGGCAATAGAGTGATTTAAATTGTGATGGTTTTAGTGGTTTAAGAGATTGGAGAATAGTTAATTATGCCCAAATTAGATGAGAATCTGGAATTTCTGGATTTCTCAGCTTTCTGTCCAAACAGATTCAAGATAAATATAAATACCCTGTCTATATACCTTTAACTTTCAGAAACTTGTTTTTATAATACAGCGTATATTTTATATATACATATTTTATGTACATAAAATATACATAAAATATATATGTTTTATATATATTTTTTATATATTTAAAAATAACATCATGCAGTAGATCCTAATGGAAGAGGACACTGGGCTGAAAGAAGTTGATGTGACTTGGGCCTAGTACTGACCTGCTGTCATCTAGCCATGTAAGGTTGGGCTCCCATCTCCCCTTTCTGTCCAAGAGCATGATCTATAAATGTAAAAGATTCAACAATGGCATAATTGACAACTTTATGATTAAGTATTTAAGTGAAATTTTTAGGAAGTAATTTAATTTCCTAAAGGCCTTTAATTGCGATATTAAAAAACATAACTCTTTTGCTTCCTGACTCGTTTTCTGTTTGTCTCACAGCAATACTTTACGAGTCACCCGTTCTGCTGCCCCCAGCACACTGGACAGTTCCAGCACTGCCCCTGCTCAGCTGGGAAAGAAAGGCAAAGAATTTGAATTCTCACAGTTGCCTCTCAAAGTGGAATTCCTGGAGTGTAGTGCCAAGGGTGGAAGAGGGGACACTGGCTCTGCTGACATCCAGGACTTGGAGAAATGGCTCGCTAAAATTGCCTGAGGGGCAGATCCAAAGCACAAGACACAAATGTGTGTGTGGTGATTGACAGTTTTGGAAAAGGGTGTAATTAGAAACATTTCTTTGTGTAGAAACACATTAACATTGAATTCGGCTTGAAACTTTTTTTAAAGTTCATTTCCCCTTATTTGCTTTCAAACTAGTCACTTTTATTTGATTGTGTGCCTTCCCTTTATTAAAGTGTATGTGATATCCTTTTAGTGTATGCTTGAAGTGGGGTCAAGGTCTTTGAGACCAAAACAAGTGGACCCTACGTAGAGAAGATATTATCATGAGAACATGGTTATCATCTCAAAAGTTTTCTTGTCTCGTGCTTTGGTACCTTTTTCTTGGAAAAAAATCTATGTATGGAACCAGTTGATTTCCAGTTGCCTTTGAGGTTCCTGGACAGTAAGTACATCATCTAGTCTTTTGTGAATTCTCAGATTTGTAGGGGCAATTATAATATAGTCTCCCAACACATGAAGAAATAGAGAATAGCAAGGCTGTGTCGCCAGTGGGTCTGGTCTTCATCAGCTCAGTGACTTGTCCACACTCCAGCCTCATAGCACTTAAGTTTCAAAAACGTGTCATGAGCCATTGGAGTCATTCCCAGATGATAGAAATGTAAGCACTGGCTCTCCAGATGCCAAGGGTCTATCTAGTGTGTTCCAGTTTTCCCTAACTGGGGAGTACATGGAGATTTGGGAGCTGTTCTGTTTTTCTGGGTGGCCAAGGGCTCCTGAGCTATCTTCATGTGCTGTTTGATCAGCTCCTATTTTTGTACTCAGCCAGAATGCTGTGGAACAAATACAAAATGAAAGAAGTTCTCTGTAGATTTTGAAAGTGCATATTCACTGATGGTTAAAAAAAAAAGTTGGCCTTTTCAAAGTGATATTCTTTGCTGTTTTCTTAAATGTATGGCTTTTTTATGGCTTTTATAAATGATTAATACATTTTTTGGTAAACAAAACACCCTGTCTCTCTTAAAGCAATTAAATAGAATGATGTAATGAGTACAAATGGGAGTGTGTGTTAGGATTCAGGCCTAACTCCAAGTTTCCAGGGCCTAAAGAATGCAGTGTACACAGGAGCAAACTCTTCTATCCCTATTCACACACAGGGATAAGCCCAACTAAAGCTTAAAAGGAGACAAGGGTGGCTGTGGATAAATGAGAAGCAAATCCCCGAACAGTGCGGTAAGAGCCGTACCGGGAGAGGTGCAGGGTGCTCTGGGAGCATGCGGCAGAGGCGCCTAACTTGGCTTTGATGGATCAGGGAGAGTCAAAGTAGAAGCATGGAGCCGATAACGTCCCAGTGAGTACGGTCCCCATGTACACTACAGGCCAAGCCTCTGCCTGCTGTCACCCTTCCTGTGGGTCATTCTAGCTCTGAATGAGAGTACTCTAGCTCTCATTCAGAGCTAGAATGACCCACAGGAACCCCCAGCCCTGTATCATACACCTTGCTGCTGGTGTATGAAATAAATGCAAGCTGAAACTGAGAAGATGTCAGGCCTTGACCATGGCAGAGTTCTTACTCGAAAGCCTCATTGTTACTAGTGTTCTTGCTGTCCTTTAGACTCTTAGTTCTTGCCCTTTCCTTACTCACCAAGTGGCAATTTAAGGAAGTGGGTAAGAACTGTGAACCAAAAATCAAATCAAATGTGATGAACATGACCCATTCACATAATCACAGTAGGTGTTCATGTGAGTAAAAATCAATGGCTTGATGCTTCTGTTGAGAAGCATGGGTTCTCAGCTTTTTTTTTTTTTCTTTTTTTCCTGGTTAAAGTGCTTTACTTTATTAAAAGAAGCCATACACTAAAAAAGTGACTGAAGAAGGTGGAGAGCAAGGTTGAATTTTATTCAAGGCCTAAAGGTGATCATCTGAAAAAGGAAAGTTATGTTTCAGGCAGCGAGTCTCAGATATCAGTGTGCATCAGAATTCTCTGATGCTTGTTAAAACAGCTGATTTGAGGACCCTGCTCTTAAACGTTCAATTCGAGAGCAGCTCTGGTGGGGTCTCAGGAATCAGCATGCTTAACATGCCCTTACACAGGCACATGGGGCTCCTGGGAGCACCTCAGAATGGTCTGACCTGGAGTGTGCCTTTAGTATGCATTGTTTTTAAGTCCTTTGGACCACAAGCCCTGTTTAGTTTTTTCTCACAGGGTGAAGTACGCAAGCAGATTATAGAGTCTCTCTCGGGCCCTGTTATCCTGCTTCCTACTCCTGTGATATAGTCATCTCATCCTTGTAGGTTTGGGCCAGGATGAGGTCATGGTGACTAGTCCTTGGGAGCCAGGAAGGGATTTTGATGAGAAGTCAAGTGTTCTTTACTCTGCTGGTGTTTTCTTATGGCCCTGAAGCCATTTAGTCAAAGTAAGCCCACTTCTTCATGAGATGGGAGGCAAGTGTGGCCGGAGTGGAAAGAAGGATGTTAGGATGTGGGGACTGGCAGACAAGGCATGACAGTGATAGACGAGACAACTGTGGCTTGAAACACCTCCTTCTTGAGAACACAGCAGCGTCTGAGCCACTGTGTGTGTGTAGACAGTGAGACCTGCTTCTAGGGTAGCTGCCACCTCATGTGAGTGACTGTTCCTTGCTAAGGGAGAGGAGCAGGCCACGGTGAGATGCTGCTGTAGAGTGACAGCTGTGACAAATAAGCCCTGAGTACTCCATTGGTAAATGGAGCTTCTGGAAAGGAATCTTCCATGGGATATGGGGCACACACACAGACCAAGGGGTCTAGGTACTGCCTGCACTATTCTTTATTCTTTATTCTCTATCCCAGCTCTTAAAGTCCCTTTTCCCAGGGTTTCTGGGCCTTAGTAGCCCCTCTATTGCCAGGCACCTGCCTGTTTGCTGGGGCTCTGGTTCCTGATCAACAGCTACTGTTTTTGGGGAGTCCCTGGGGTTTGCTACTTAACTTGTCCCATGGCCTCTGTCTCAGTGCCTCCTGAGATCCCACTGGTCCTGCTTTGTGTAAGGCACTTGGCCATGGTCTGTCAACTTGAGATCATTTCAGCCAGAATATTATGTTGCTGCCTTTTTTTTACGGTTCAAGTTTAGCACAGAATTATCAAAGCTACAATTGGTCGATGTCCATTCTCACCTTAAGGATTGTTAGCAGTAATTAAGGTGCTTACCTCCTCTATTTCAGTCCTTCACGTATTTTTTAAAAAGTGAATATTATACTTGGCTTTTGTGCAGGAAAATCATCTCAATTTCTCTTCAGCTATAAATTGTTGATTACTCACAAGAGCCTTACGTAGCATTCATTCAGAAGACTCTGAGAACCATGCAAGGCTCTGGGAATACTAAGCACAGAACAATTCCTGCTTCATGAGGTATATGGCATGGTCCCATTCTCAAGTGCAAAAAAATGTGCCCTTTTAGTGTGGCTCCTCTTCCCTCCATCATGGCTGTGTTGGACCCCTGAGCACCGTGTGGGCCCCAGGGTCAGCTGCCTCAGTGCTGCCCTCAGCTTCGCCTTTGCTATCCTTGCGTTCTTGGGCAGCTGTGCCAGCCACACTGCCCCAATAGAGCTGCCACTTCTTCCCATGGCCTGTGTCTCCATGACTCCTGGGGTTCCAGTGTCTCCCTGTGTCCCTGTTACTGTGTGGCACTTGGTGGTGTGTTGACTTAAGATAATTTTGTTTCAACTGAAATAGGCTTTAAAAAAAAATTAGAGGTTAGCATAGAATCGTCAAAGCTCCTTTTTCTGCTCTTAGTTACTGGACAGCAAAACGCAGCTACAGTGTTAGGGAAAGCCACCTTGAGCACCATCTCTTGATCCACGCAGGCACTTAGGCAGGACACAACTCAGTAATGTTCACATTCTCATCCAGGGAATCCCAACACCTGGTAAGGGAAGGGGCTGCTGGACAGTTGTGCGTGTAATACCATCCTCAGTGAGATTACGCCCTTTGCTGTCTGAAGTCATGTTCCTCTGTGTACCATAACCTTGGGGAATTTATGGTTCACCTTAAATTCTTGGAACAGCTATACTCTGGCTTTCATCTTGTGCACGCTGGCTCTCAGGCCTCTGCCCTTGACCGTCCCCTTACCTCCTTCCTCTACCTCACATTTTACATCTGGCCGCCATCTATTTCCTCCTAATCAGAGATGGGTTCCTTGAGGTGGTAGATTGGAGGGTGTTCCAGAAACTTTAGAACCTTTAAAGGAGAAAGATAATTAGTGAAGGTGAACTTGGAGAATGAGACCTGGAGAACTTGGCTTATGCCACAGCCCAGGATTCCTAGCATTCACAGGCCAGGGCAATTGGCCTGTGCCCACTCATGGCCTCTCTGTCCTCTAAGGATTGGTCCCACAACTCTCCTGGCCTTCAAAGCATCTCTTACTCCGGAGATGATAGATGTGAAGGGGCCTCTCAGAAATGTTCTCTAATTGATGTGGGGGTGAAGTCGGAGGTGGTATTTGGCAGCTTGGTGCCACCTGAAAGGTTGAAGATGGTTCCCCTTAAATTCTTACCTGTAAATGGTCTCCTGGAAATTACCAGGAGGAAAAGTGATCCAGTCCCTGCAGCCACCCCCATTATCACCCCTCAGCCATGGCAAATGGAAAGCAGGAACAGAAGGTATTAACACACCCCGAGTCTCAGTTCTGCGTGGAGTTTCCCTTTCCATCAGCCTGTAGGCAGAATGGAGATTATGAAAATAAGCGTGTCCTACCTTTCCCCCTTCTTAGCTGGCGGAGAGTCCAAGTGAGTAGGAGGAAAAAGCAAAAGGCTTTGGGTGGTGGACATACCATTGGACATAGGAGGGTCTTCATGCAGCATTCACTTGAAGAAATGTTTCCGCATCCCGCCCCCATATATGATTGTACCACTTAAGAGACATTAGACAAGAAACTTTGTTTTGAGAATTAGGACAGTTTATTGTTTGATCAACATGCTGAGTCTTCCACATTTTACACAGTTTTATGTAAAGTCAATGTGGCCATTTATGCCTGCTGAGCCAGTAAGAGATGGAAATGCCACCCTCTGTGCTCCTCATGCCCAGTCACTTTTTGGGGATGGGTGAGGGAAACCGAGGGGAGGAGTTGACAAACACCACGTGGTAGGGGCCAGCCTTCGATGTATGGAGGCTTCCCACTGGAGGGAAGCACCCAAACCCTACTGCAAGGATACACCATACCCCGCCAGGAGTGTCACCCACACAGGTCTGATGTCCAGGAAGTTTACACATTGAGAGCCCAGGGTTTTGGAACGCCTAGTTCATTTCAAACAAAAATTCAAAGGGTGCCCTGGTCTGTGAGTGCCCACAACAATCAGAGTAGGTTTGGGGAACTGGCCCTAATTTGCAATGGAGGAGCCTGAAATGTATGCGGATTTTTTCGTGGCTCACTTAGATACACTGAACAGTCTCATGTCCTCACCAGAGTAGAGATGGTCTGAGGAGCACCCATACACAGCAGTCCTTCATGCGCAAGTGCACAGTCACATTCATACACACAGGTCGGCTAAGGATGAAGACAGAAACATCTTGGTTCTGACTGCTTCCAGCTTGCTGGGTGACTGTAAGCAAGTCAACCTTCTCTGTCTTGGTTTTCCTGCCTTTGAAACAGGAAGGGTTACAAGACCCCTGCTTCACATTTCTGTAGCCAGGTGACAATGCCTCACATTCTTGGGGGAGAGGTAGTTTGGAAACTAGTGAACATACAATCCAGTTGCTTGATGCAGACAGACAGACCTCATGTGACTCAGACATACATCCAGTCATCAGCTACATGTTCTCACACCCTGACATCCTCACCTGCCTTCCACCCTGTGAAGAAATGAGGCTGCTCTGCCTGCACAACACCGAAGCCAGCGGTGCCATTATTGTCACACCTGGGACTTGAGGGCAGGGGCTCTCAGCACTGGCTGGCCACCAGGAGGACAGAGACATACTCAAGATGTGTCTGCACCTTTAGTTACCACCACTTCAATTCTCGTTTCTGTTGCCTGAGACACTTAAATTGATCTCGCCACTGTTCCTTGGACCTGGGAACATTAAAGAATTGAAGAGGATGAAAAGAAAATGGTGACAGCGATAGCCTCTAACCGAAAGAAACCTGCTTGTAAATCACCAAGCGTGCTTACCTTGGACTATACAACTGCATTTCCAGGACTCCAGATGCTTTTGTCACACTTTCATTCTGGCATGTTACGTGCATTAATAAATATGCTATCTGCTTTTTCCATCTTACGCTCAACTTTTCAGATACCTGTGAAACAGAAGCTCTTCGACATCCTCAAAGAAAAAGAGGGCCTCAAGAAGATGACCCCGCTCATCTCCCAAGTCGAGGCTAGTCTCAGGAAAGGGACTGAGCCACTGGCTAAATTGAGATAATTTCCTAAAAGGATTCCTCCACTTTGCCTTGTACTAGCCCACCTATTTTTGGCAAAGATGCTGAGGCAATTTCATGACATCTTCAAGGGAACCTGATCATTTTATTATTGAACTTTAACTCTTTGAGTCAAGATCTTAACCTACAAGCAAGAGGACAGTGATCGCACCTGCTCAAAACGAGAACCAAAGACCCAATGCACTTCTGCATTGTCTGGCTGGCCTAACAGATGCCAGGAAATGAGGGGTGGAAATCAGGCCATGGAATGTCATGGCAAAAGGACAAGATAAGGAGGCAACTGCCTTCATCTTCAGAGGCCCACTTAGATACGCTGGGGAGAGCCTGGACTCAAAAGAAGATGTCGTGTATGTGCTAGGAAAGGCAGGGCTCACAGAGGCCACATCAGGCCAAACACTATCTACTGCGCCTCCTACTGCTTCTCTAGGTTGTGAAGGGAAAAACAAAGTTCATGGTGCCTTAAGATATGTATACACATGGAAAGGGAACTGAGTTTCTACTTTTTTTTTTTTTATAGGAATGTTTTAAAGAAAAGCTACTCTTTAGTACCAAGAAGGTAAAAATCTACCATACATTCATTCACCGAGACCCAGTGCAGATCACTGTAAATTGGGGCTGTCCCAGAGGCCACAAGCAATGGCCCTCACTGCCACTCAGGCCAGATGCTGTAACATTGACTCCTTTAAATTCTCACGAGGTAAGTAAGCACTCTTCCAACAAGCACCACTTAGGGGTGTGCCATGGTGGGGAGGTGCTGGCCCACGTGGCATGCACACCCGTGCATATAAGTACACAGAGGGAGAAATGGTGCACATATTCTCGTGGGCTATTTTTGCCTGTAGTGTAACACATCTATGTAATTATTTTATTGATGGCAAGACAATCACAAGTTTTTGACAATATTACTTATTTCAACACGTTGCAGTACTTTTGAATTTCGAAAACTGTAATCACAATGCAAGTTCCAACTTGAGAGCAGGAAAAACAAGAATATACATTGAGCACATGTACCTCTGTGAGAATGTGTGTGTGGAAGGTGTATACACAAGTCTATCTCTCTATATAATTATGTACACACATATAAAAACTAAACACATGACATTAGAATTACGTTCATACATTGGTCTTTGCCTTTTGGAAGAGGAGCTCAGTGGGAATCCTGCTTCCTCTTTTTTCACCTGAAGATAAATTTCTCTTTAAAGATCAGCTCTGACATACGGCCTCCTTAGCAGAGAGTGTGTGACAGGCTCACTGGACAAATATCAGTGAGTCCTGCCAGGTTTCACTGAACTTGCTGGCTGCCATCTTGGATTCATTTCTGAGAAGTCCCAAAATTCACTGCAATAACTTGTTTGAGTGCTGCTTTGTGGAGGAATTCACCCCCTACCACACCCCAGACGGTCATTTCGCTCACCTATGACATGCCCAGCAGCAGCCAGGAAGAAGAATCAATGCCAGCTTGGAGAGCAGGTTTTACTGTTTGTGGCCCGAGTCGCTGTCCACTGCCTGGCGTCGTGCAGGCTCGGGGTCAGTGAGTCTGGGTCTATTTGGAATACAGGCCAAGTGGGTTAAATCACTTAGTGAGAAGAGAGAGCTCTCTTCAGAGATTTTACAGGTCCTCAGACTTAGTCCTTCTCAGAAATGAGTCAAAAATGGTAAGGATGACTCTCTGGGCAGCCTTCTGGACACCACACGTCAGCCAACCAGAGTGCTACTACAATATGCACAAAGGTATGTGCACAAACAACTCCACTGTGCCAGTGGAGCAAAAACACATCAAGAAGTCAGCTTTTCCAGAACAGCACTCAACAGTATTAACCACCAAGGACCTGAGAACATGTATCTTCAAGGTGGTGGTTCTGCAGACAACCCTCCCTTCCCCAATCACAAATGGATTAATACTGTGTGATACAGGCTCCAGCGTCCCTGGCATCCAAGGAGGAGGGTTTCAGGAGGCACACACTGAGTTTCTTTTTGCCTCTCCTATAGATTCAATCCAAATATGTGTGCTGAACGCTGGGCAGGTTGGTTAAAAAATTTCCAGAAGTACACATGGTGCCCCAAGTCAATAAACCACACGGTGACACTGCTCACAGCTGCCAACAGCACCTCGTCCTTCCTTCCAATGACCTCTTGCTCTGCCAATCACTGGGCAGGCCACAGAAAACACAAGGTTGCCTGTGACAACTGCCCTCCACCCCCTTCAAGGCTTTTCAGAGAGGGGAAGGGAGAGGCAGAAATAACTCCAGTGGGGCCTGCTGCTGGGCTCCCTGCAGTCCACAAGGCCTTAGCTTCAGCTCGAGGCCATGGCCGATGTTCCACTGTAGCCACAGAAGGACAGAGTCAGAGCCACTTCTACAGAGGCCGTTTTGTTCAATCAGTGTTTGATTTAACCAGGCAAGGCCTGGTTGGTTGGTCTGGGCCAGACGGCCAGGGATTGGAGCCTAATTAAGTTGCCCAGTTAATGTTTTAGTTTACTGGGCTGGGGGTGGGAAGAGGGCAGAAGTGATGAACAGTTCAAAGAGGACAGGAAGGAGGAGGTGTGTGGAAAAGGTTCTCTATAAGTTTACAAATATACAAAAACAAAAAAGCACATCTTTCAAATAAAAATGACTACATTTTTATCTGGCAAAAAGTTGTATACACATGATTTAAATTTTTTTTTTTAAATTTTAACAGTTTTTGGCAATCTTAATAAAGTACAATATATTACAACCAAACCAAAAAATAGTTGTTTAAGTAACAGCTGTTAAGAGTGACGTGATCCCTGATGCCCAGCCTCCCTCCCCACCCCACCCTATTCCTAGAGACAGAGAGAAAAGAAAAATCCTCCCATCTTGATAAGCTCATTTCCCACCCCCTTTAGGAAGCTAACCAATAGGAAGCAACACAACAAGCGAGTAGTGTCAGAGGAAGCCGGCAGGTCAGGCTGCATTAGCAGGAGCAGCCGCCCTCGCTGGCTGGGGGCTCCTGGGGTTTGTCCAGCTTGATGTCAATCACTTTGGGGGGCTGGGCTAAGGAAGACAATTCTCGCAGAGATGCTACCACCCTGGCTTACAACCCTGTGCACCCCTCAGCTGCCCTGCGCATCTCCTCCATCCCTCCACAAACACCCAGGGACTCTGCTCTTTACTTGCCCTAGGAAGGAAGGATGCAGGGTCACCAGCTCCCACCCCTCCTCCTCTTCCCCGGCCCTCCCTCCTACTCACCCAGAGCAAAGCTTGTTCTGGGCTGTGGGTTGATCATCCAAACACAAGTAGGACAGACCCTTTCTCAGAAACCTTCCTGATGACTGGTGCTGGAACACAGACTCCCAGCTGAGGCCGAGGCCTTGTTACTTGTCAGTCCCACCCCAAGGTGCACTGGAGGTGCAGAGCCTGCCAACCAGGCATGGATCCCCCATCTCAAAGCACAAGGCTACGTGGGTCCTAGTGTCACTCAGACACTGAGGATGCCACTGTGAGAAACCACATCCCTTGGGAAGGGCCTCAGCACAGGCCTCTTTCCAGCCCTTTCCACTGATGTCCTGGGCACTGTGGGCTGGAGGAGCACTGATCAGAACCACCAGAGGAGTGGGTTCAAAATGCACAGCCAGGCTGTTCCCTCTGCCCTGACCAGGCTGGGAACCCATCACGCCGGCCCGATCACAGCTGAAGACCAGGCCCTCAGCCACACAGGAAGTCTCCTCTTGGGCAGGGCTTCAGCACCTGCTGTGGGCTGCACTGGGGCGGGGGAGGGGGTGGGAGGTATAAGAAGGCCTGCTACAGGCGCTGTTGCTGGCATCCTAGGGATGTTTTTGCAGCCCCTATTGGAGGATATGGGAGAAATTCTTTCTCCCTTGCGTATAGTCTGCCCTCCATGTCTGCGGGTTCCACATCTGTAGGTTCAAACAACCTCGGATTGAAAATATTCGGGGAAAAAAATGTTTCGTTGTTGCTGACGGGTACAGTGTAGTTAGGCCTATGATGGTTGTAAGGGGGAATGTGTCTATACTGAGCATGACTCGACTTTTTTTTCTTGTCATTATTCCCTAAACAATACAGTGTAAACTATCTCCATAGCATTTACATTTTTTAATGAGTCCATGTGTAAGTGGACCCGCACAGTTCAAACCTGTGTTGTTCAAAGGTCAACTGTATTTTCCATTCGCAATTGGGAATCCAAGGATGCAGAGAGCAGACTGCAGTTATGTGTGGATTTTCAAGTGCAGGGGGTGTCGGTGCCCCCAACACCTGCACTGTTCAACGGTCAACTGTATTAGGTATTATAAATAATCTAGAGATGATTTCAAGTATATGGGAGAATGTGCATAGATTATATGCAAATACACACCATTTTATACAAGGGACTGGAGGATCCACGGATTTTGGTATCTGTAGTGGCGGGGTTGGCGGTGGGGGCGGGTCTGTGAACCAATCCCCTGCAGATACAGAGGGTGAACTGTACTATAAAAACCCATGCTTCTCCTACAGATCACATTTTCTCTCTTTCTCACTTTTTGGCCACTCAGCCATGGTGTATATTTTGAGTATGACTTTATCTCTGACTTTCCCTTGTCTTCCTACCTTTATTTTCCCTATGCCTTGATTTTCTTGTGTGCATATACACATATAACATACATTTTTTATCTTGTGTGTAGGTATGTGTGTACATACATATAAACACATTTTTCATAACATGGCAGAGTATAAAGAAACAGGTAAATAGATAATAAACAACTACCTTGTTTCCCACTGGGCAAATCAGACTACCTCTCTGGACCTCAATTACAGCTTCTGGGTGTTGCCTGAGGTTTGGGGCGGACCACGTGAGTGGCATGCTAACCCTGTGTCATGAGCAGTGGCTGTGCAGGGCTGGGCAGAGGAGGCAGGCGGGACTTGGGAGGAGGCGTCTGCTGAGGAAGCCATCTCATGTGAAGTAGGCTGAACCACACTGAAATCATATCTGCGTATATAGAAACCTTCCTTCCAGTAAAGACTTGACTTGTACCTATGAGATACAAATCAATGTTCACTGTAAAGAGCAGTATTACTGTTTCTCACTCCCTGCCCCACACTGTCCCTCCATACACATCCCTCTGGTATCCCTACACTGTTTAGGAAGTAGAAGCTTAGATGGTTTGAGCTAGACAGGTCTTAAAGACCTTGGAATTCAACCTCGTCCCTGTACAGAGTCCCCCATATCACACCTCAGCCAGGGAGGCAGGGCTGGAGAACAGGCCAGTGTCTGTCCACTGTTACAAAATACTAAGTGAATCACTGGATGGATCAACGGCTTCTCCAGCACATTTTCACTCAATCATCAAAGGAAAAGGATACTCCCTTCTTTGCTTTTCTCCTGGACATTCTCCATTCCAGGCAGAGCCGATGCCACACTTTAAGAGCTGGGGAGAGGGGGAGATGCGAGGTGAGCCCCGGCCCCATCCTTCCCCTCCCGCTCTCCCCGTGTCTCCACCCTCTGGGCTTTTCTCATTCTGACCTTGGGCTTTACTCTCCTGTCTGTCCCACTGTGTCCTGGGGGACAGGAGCTACATCGACTTCTCTCTCCCCAACCCCCAGGGCCTCTCACAGAGTTGAGCTTGGGAGGTCTCTCACCTGTAGGCTGGCCAGGGGGTCATGAGGAGCTAAGCATGGGTCATGTGACCGCAAGGGACCCACACCTGTGCAGAAAATGATCTAGATCCCAGAAGACAAGCCTTTAGGTGGGCTTCTGTCCCACTGTTCATGTGGGAACTAGGTGTGTGGAACTGATTTTCCAATTGCCCTCGAGACAAATGACGCACTTCTCAGGGATTCCTACAAGTTCATGGGCACTGAGGCAGCTGGGCGCTGGGAGCCAGGGCCACACAGTCACAGCAGAGAGAGACTCTTCTAAGAGAATGGCTCAGGAGTGTGAACACGATGTGGGTTTGTTAGGGTGTGGGTGTGAAGGCGATGTGTATACTGTGTATAGAGGTGTATGTGTGGAGTGTGTATGGTGTGAATGTGTCTGTGTGTGTGAATTTGTGTAAGTGTAGGGGGAATGTGAGTGTGTGTGTGGTGTGTGTGTGTGTGTACAAGTGGAGTTTCTGTGCATGTAAGTCTGTGTAAGTGCATGGGGAGAACTATGTGTGGGGTGTGTGTGTCTGCTGGGGATGTCAGGTAGGATGCTGGCTGAATGGAACCTAGAGGTGACCATAAGTACAGAGCAGAAGTACAAGGCACCAGAAGATTATGAACGCTCTCCTCTCTCCCCCAAAATACCGATTATAGGAACTCAGTGGGCTCTGGGCTTATAACTTCTCTTTGTGAGCTCTGAGGACAGGGTGTCTCATTCATGGTTTCACCCAGAGCCCAGCCTTATGGGACTGCCCAGGCTGGCTGAGGGCCCTACGGGAGCACCCAGGGCCAAAAGGCATGTGAGTATGTGGCCGGTGTGCCCGGCAGGGTGCGGGACTCTGTGGGCAGGCTGCAGAGGGGTTTCCAGAGTGGGACGGGCAGAAGCAGGCGAGGGTGCAGAGGGCCCGGGCCATTCCTCACAAGCTTCCTTTGTGGCCTTGCCCCAGGCAGCCCTGCTCCACCTGCCTGATGGTTAAAATGGTCACAGTTCTGCCAAGGGCCCAACTGCCAGTTAGAAGGCAGCTCTTGGGATCACATGTGGGTCTCAGAGAGCAGGAAGGGTCATGTTCAGAGTCCAGGAATCTGTACTATACAGAAACTCCTTCTCTGAACCACACAGGGTTTCAACTGACCACATTTGACTTCCGCTCAGACCATCACCTGGCTTCCAGAGCATTCTAGAAAGGGAAGTATTAGTGTCTCCCTGACCCTGATCACTGGCACAGAGGCTACCTCTGCTTCCTCTGCTTCCCCGTACTCCCCCATGACTTTCCATCAGCAACCCAGTGTCTCCTGCATGCCTCAGGGATGCGTGGCTCCCTCCTCCAGGAGATGCCATGTTAGTCCCAGCCTTACACCGAAGGAGGCTGGGAGGGGGTGGGAGTGAACAGGGCCCCGCTGCAGTCACTCCAATTGGGGCGGGGGCACTGAGCCCTGGGAGCTTAGGGGCTCTCAGTCTGTCTCTTCCCACGCCTCTGCCACCTTCCCCACTGCCACTGGCACTGTCCACGTGGGGGGAATCATCACCGCATCCAGGCCAACTGCTGTATGGGGCACCACTGGGAACAGCCGGGTGAAAGTGATACCCCAGCCAAGACGTCCCCTTCACTCAAAGTCCCCTCCCCACACCATGGGCACCCCTCCTGCGGTACCTTTGCTTACGTTGTTCCCTTTGCCCGGGACGCCCTTCCCCTTGGCACCTCTCCAAGCCCTCTCCTTCGTGAAGGCAGAAGCTTCTAACATTTTGCGAACTACGGACCCCTCTGGCAGTTTGGTGACACCTACGAACTCCTTCTAAGTGTGTGACATCAGTTACAGAGAAGCACAAAGGAAACCATTTGGTATCGAAATATACTTCTAAGATCTTTCAAGATACGAACTGGTGATGTAGCAGCATTTGTGTTTCCCCACGAACTTATTAAGCATCAAGAGCTGGCAGTGTGTCTAATAAACACTGTGATACTCAAGTAGTGATGCATATCAAGTTCAAGATGCCGCGACGCTGTAAGGTGATAAGAATTCAGCTGCGATCTGTATGTGATGAAGCCACAGGGGCTGCTGCCGTTACGGAGTTTTGTTGCCTACATTCATCACTGAAGGGAACACTAATGAGCAGTTAGCCGTTAGTGAAAACAAAGCTGTAGGTTTTCCAACCCAAGTCTGCTGACCTGCTGAATTCCATCCATGGACCTCTTGGGAATCCATGCATCCAGGAGAACCCCCCCTACACACACATACGCACTCCGAGGCTCAGCCCTTCTCTGGCTCCTCTGACCTTTGTGGTTCGCCAGGCCTTTCCCCTCTGAGAGCCCCAGCACACAACACAGGTGGGCTCCTTTCTCCAAGCCTGCCTGGCCCTCCACCCCTGAGCACTTGCCAAGCACAAGGCATGAGCCCCTGCACCTCACCCCCAGTCAGGCAAGATGCTAGGGAAACAATGCATCTCTCAGCCACCTGGCAGTTGGTGGCTGGACACTCACAGGATGCTATAGGGGCCGTGCCACTGGTTGCTGTATGGCAGCCAATGATAACACTCTCCAGACACCCCGTGAAGGCATGTGCTCCTCAAGCATTACCAGCTCTGGAGGCAAGCTTGTTCCCCAGGAGGCGGGTTTACGAGCACTCTGGTTGACTGCCCCAATCCAGTCACTAGCTCACTGGGGAAAGGCAGGGCCAAGCCTGTGGCCACACGTCATGCCGGAAGCCACACATGGGCCCCGTGGCCAAGCAAGGCCGAGGATCAGTACCAGGTGCATCCTACCTGCTTCACGTTGTAGCCGGTCTTCGCACTGGTCTCGATGAACATGACACTCAGTTCTTTGGCGCGCTGCTCCCCCTCCTCAATGGTTATCTGCCTGGAGAAGAGGAGAGAGGGGGTCAGTTCGGTGAGCAGCAGCCCCTGGTAGACGTGGTGGAAGCAGCCTGATATGAGGGGAACCCGCCCAGCAGGGCAGGGGAGCCGACCGAGCCCCTCAGTCAACCCTGAGGACAGGCTCCGATGCCAGGACTCCCTCCAGGATGAGGGAGCACAGGGCACAGCAGGACACCAGCCCCTTCCCTACTCCTTCTGAACTTTTTCCTCTCAGTTGAGAGCAGGCCCTGTGGCAGCTGGCTGGGGCTGTCCCATACCTGCCTTTCCCAAGAGTCACCACTGCCAGAGCCTAGGTTTATAAAATGCTTTGAACCACATACCGCCCCTCTGGGGGTTATCGCCAGTTCCGTTTTCCAAATGACACTGAGGTTCGAGTGACTGCTCCAAGGTCACAGAACTACTTAGTGAAGGAATTGGGATTTAAGCCCCATTTTCTTCATTTCAAAGACAGGATTCTAACAAAGTAGGTTCTAATTCAGATTGTTCCTTAAATGGTCAGAGTGTATTTTAGGAAGCCCACAGTCCATGCCTGGTGTTTTATCTGACCAAGTTGGGTCCCTTGAGATGACTAGACAAACATATGTAAGTGGCACCTAAGTTAGCCCTGTTCCCTGGAGCAGCCTCTTCAGAGAACGTATCACACCCACACACAGCAATGGACCAGGAAATTCTGAGAACCAGGACCTTCACACCCACGCCACGCCAGCACAAGCATTTTATGGGGGCAGAGACACGAAGCACAAGCAGAAGCTGGCGGGAGCCCGAGGGACTGCTGCGTCTGCAGCTGTGCCATGGCCATGGCCAGCCCCAGACCACGCACCACTGGGCCAGGCCAGCTGCACAGGGCTCCACGCAGTCCACACACACAGGCATGCTCCTGCCGCCAGTGCAAGGTGGGGCTTCAGAGACGAGACCCCCATGGGCAGGGGTCTACCAGGGGCTTTCAAAGCCTCTAGCACCTACAGGGGACCTTTCCCAAATGCAAGGGGACAGGTCAGACAGGGTGCTCACCACTCACGCATCCTAGAACTCCTTGTCCAGGAGGAGCTGCAAAGGCATGGAGGGCAGGCCCAGCCTGCCAGCCCCTGCACCTACCTCTTGTCAGCCAGATCCGTCTTGTTGCCCACCAGCATGATGATGACGTCACTGCCCCTCTCTGTCCTGACATCATCAATCCACTTAGAGGTCTGCTGGAAGGAGTTGAGGTCTGGAGGTTGAAAGTGAGGATAAAATTGGGAGTGAGATCCAGCTCTTGGAGGGAGAGGGGAAAGGTGGGGAGGGGCACGAGACAGGGGACAGGAGGGATGTGCAGTGTGCACCCTCAGACACCCAGGAGGGACATGGAGCGTGTACCCTCAGACACCCAGGAGGGACGTGGAGCGTGTACCCTCAGACACCCAGGAGGGACGTGGAGCGTGCACCCTCAGACACCCAGGAGGGACGTGGAGCGTGCACCCTCAGACACCCAGGAGGGACGTGGAGCATGCACCCTCAGACACCTAGGAGGGGCAGGAACGCAGGCCGCACAGACCAGTGGGTCTGGGCCTTCCACAGGAGACCCACATGTGTTTATGGAGCTGCTGCCCGGGGCCCTGAAGAGCCCCTTGCATTGCTGAGCCACTTTGCTGGAGGAGAAAAGTCACCCATCTAGAAGGTCACTGTTATGATCTGCTAAATGGACTAGTGGCTTTAATGGCTCACCTGAGAATCAGATCTGACCTTGGAGGCTCAGAGTAAAAAGTGGGCCCAGAGAACTTAGCTGAGCATGGAAACAGTGCAGGGGGTGCCACAGTAGCCCCTATGGGAGGAGTGCCCTACGGAGCAGACTCTCACCAAGGGGAGCTTAAAGGGGCTCAGGAAAGGGCAGGGGAGTTTCCAAAAAGAACCCTCGAGTCTACAAGTAAGACAAGGAGGAAGGCAGCCCCAGGAGCAGACAAAAGCCAGGGGAAGCAAGGCTACTTCAGGGCAACCCTCTCCTCAGACAGAAGACGTGGCAGACTTCACAGAGGAGCAGTCATAGGGCGATGCCCACCACTCGGCAGCACACATGCCTGGGGGATGCGGCGGGGGGCGGGGAGGGGGGGCCCTGACCTGGGAAGCCTGTTTTCCGCAGCCTGATCTCTCTCCTGCTCCATGTCAGGCTGCATAAGCCCAGGCCCCCACAGGGCCCAGCTCTCACCTGCACTCAGATGGGCAGGGAGCCTACGGTCAGGGACAGGGGTGGAAAAAACGGATGGGCAGAGCCAGGGCAGCAGGCTGGGGCAGTGCCCTGGGTGTCTTCCCACCATGGTTGTAACCTCAGCCCCAGGGCTTACCAGGTATGTTCCATTAAACTTCTTGGGCAGTGGGCCCTGCATCAAGCCTTACCCCCTGACTCCCAGCCCCAGGAGCCTTCCTCGGGGCTGTGCGGTCTTTCTCTAGAATAGCTGTTTTGGCCAGAAGAGCCACAGTGTGTGAGAAGTGCAGCCACCCACGGCTCTTCCAAACCTGCTCAACCTCTCCTCCCAAGGAGCTCTATGAGGAGCTGGGGTACCAGCTGACAAAACCACAGCTGCTGGGTCGAGCTTGGTCCAGGGACCAGTGTCTTCTCCCACCTTGCCACACATGCATACAGAAGTTGCTCTGTAGGGGTCTTTCTGGCAGCCAGGGCCCAAGAGGGCACAGAGGGTCTCACCTTCACAGTCAGGACCCTGCTCTGAGCAGGGCCAAGCGGGTCCCGTACACCCGTGCCTGTCACAGGAGGGTGGGGAAGGTGGAAAGCATGCTGGTGTTCAAAAGCAACTCACCTCCCCACCCCCGAGCACATGCCTTCCTGCATTCAGATGTAAGCACACGTGTTTGCATACATGTACACGCACATGTACACACACATGCACACACAATGCACACACACAAAGAGGCTATAGCCTGGCTGAGGCTCCAGTGGGGCCCTGGAGCCCTCTCTCCGACACCCAGGACGCACTCACTTGTGATGTCGTACACCACCACGGCCACTGTGGAGTCCCGGATGTAGCTGGGGATCAGGCTGCGGAACCTCTCCTGGCCCGCTGTGTCCCAGAGCTGCAGTCGCACCTGTTACAGGGAGGGCGCTGGGGTCAGCGGGGGCAGTGGGGTCCTCATGGGGAGTATGGGGGTTGGGGAGAGGCTCTGCGATGCTGGCTGCCAGCTCTGGGGAAGGCACAGACTCTGAGTGGTACCCGCCTAAGGGTCCAGGTGATAAGCCCAAAGGAGCCCTCTCTGTCTCCCAGTTCTAAAGTCAAGCACTCACCGTACGATCCTCTAAGTACATGGTTTTTGACAAGAAGTCAATCCCAATAGTCGCCTGTTAGAGAAAAGCACAGAAAGGTCAAAACTGAAAGGTCTCAGGCAAAGGGGCAAAAAATAAATTCAGTGATCCAGGCAGTGACAGCCAGCAAAAGGGGGCACACCTATGTCAAACCCAGGGTGGATCCTGCTCTACTGTCCCTGTCTCACTCCCAAACACACACACACTCCACAGTGAAGCCTCTCGTCCTTCTCGGAGGAAGTGAGTTTGACCTAAATAAGGATGAGGATAGGGTTTTAGGGAGAGATACAAAAATGCTTTGGGAAGGGAATGAGAGACCCGGGTAAGGAGGCCCACCCCGGCAGGAACAAGGCCATTGGAATGCAAATCTCCAGCCCCCTCACATGCTGCCTAGAGGAGCAGGAGCTGGGTGGCCCCCTCCTAGAGCCTGCTTGGCCCCTCCTGCCTCCATCCGTGGCAGCCTTCCCCCTCAGCCCTGGAACTCTAGTGCCAGGTGGGCAGGGGTGGAGCAGGAAGCAGGGCAGCTGGCTTCTTTGTGGGGGCAGAGAGTAGCTGGCTTTCCTCAGGAGCATTGCAGACCGCCCAGAACAGCGTCTCGCTAGGAAATCTCAGGGGCTTCCCAACCAACACATTGGGAGCCAATGGTTCCTAGCACCTCTTATGCTATGCCTGTGCACTGTCTGTCCTGGCACTGGGGAGAGGCAGCTATGGGTCTGTGTGTGTAGTCAGCCTTGTGGCCAGATGGCTGGAACCTGTTGTTCATTCACTATGTAGCCTTGGGCAGACCACCCAATTTCTCTGAGCCTTACCTGTACCCAATGTCTGTGACAGGAGCTAAGATGCCGTCGGTGTGAAAGGGAGTCACTGCTACATAATTAATAATAACGAAGACTCAGACACAGCCTGAACTTCCAGGGCACTGGTTAGGTACAGTGTGGTACATCCGTGTGATGAGAATCCTTGGCAGTCATTAAAAATCACATTCTTGAAAAATATTTAAGGATTTGGGGGAATGGTTATCAAGTGAAAAAAAAAATCAGAATATAAAACATGTATAGTGTGATCCCAATTTGATTAACTGAAGTAAAGATAGAAGTATTTTTCATATTTTCTTAGACACTGAAAAGAAAGAAATATGCTAAAACCTTACACAGTGCCCACGTCTGGGTGATTTTTTTGCTTCCTTCATTACACTTTTCTCTTTTTTTCTACATTTTCTACAATGAACATATAATAGTTCTAGAAACAGAAAGAAAGTATTTTGAAACAAAAAAAAAAAATGAAGTTTAAAAACAAGCTTAATTGCATAGAAAATTGTGCTTTAACTTCAAATTGTGCTTTAACCACAAAAACCACAACCAAGGGAAGCCCAGGGAAATAGGAAAGCCCGTGTCTCCAGGCTCCGGGGCTGACTGCAAGGCTGTGCAGTGCATTCACACCCCCAGCTCATTCCACAAAGGAGTGTAAGTGGCTTCATCCTCCTGGAAGCTCTGCTTCAATGCAAAGATACAAAGTGTCAAGGAATCACACAATTCTGGAACACAGGTACTAAACGAACATCTGAGACACAACCCCATCCCTTACTCTGGAGAGGAAAGGACAGACCAGGAAAGTTAAAGCACATGCCTAGTGTCACGTCACCAATCAGTGGCAGAGCTGGGAGGTTTGGCGCCAAAATCTTGGCATCGCTTGGGATCCTTCCACCTCAGCTTCGCACACCTCTCCTGCGTGGTGTAGCCACTGGGGAACAAGTCTGGAGTTGATGGGCGGCTTGTGGCCTAAGCCTTGTTCCTTAATAGTCACACAACATCCAATTACTGGTGTATGTTAGAGCGATAATCCTTGTCTTCTGATATCTCTAAGGAGAAATGTGTAGAACGGGTAGATCTCTCTCAACTCATCAGTGCTCAGTGGGCTCCCCAGGGAGAGTCAAGCTCCTTCTGCCAAGTGATGCTTTAGCTAAAAACCAGGTGCATGAGCACAGGAGTGGTGGCAAGGACTGCTAGCTGTGTCCCAATATGCAGTCCCCCTTTCTATAAGGACTACGAATGTGTAGGTGGACTTATGCCTGCCCCAAATAAAAACTGTACTTCCCAGCTTTCTTTGTAGCTGGATGATTAAGTGCTGGTTGATGGGATGTAAAGGTGATGTATGCATCTTCTGGGCTGGGTCCTTCCTGGGGCTGGGGTAGGGAGATGTACTCACAGCTGCTCTCTTTTTTCCCACCACTTGGAATGAAGACAGGTGGTGGTCAGTCATACTGGCCCATCCAGATGAGGGGGACAGAGTACTAATGACAGACAAGTCACTAAGACAGAGGAAGCCTGCATTCCTGACCTTGGGGAGCCATCTCAGCAGCCTTGCACTGCTGACGCCCAGACTGTTGTGTGATAGAACTGAACTTCTATTTTGCCTAAGCCACTGTTATTTTAGGTTTTTCAGAAGACTAAGGGAAAAACCAAAAGAGACCTATCTTGAAAGTTTAAACATAGTAAGTAACCCTTCCAAAAAAATTAGCTGCCCATAATTTAATTGCCTATTAAAATAAAACCCAACACTCATCAGAGGAAGGTAACAATACAAGAATCTCCATAACTTATTATTCACAATATCCACTACACAACAAAAAGAGATTACAGACATGTAAAAAGGCAGGAAATTCAAGCCATAATCAAGAGAAAAAATCAATAGCAACAGAACCCTGGAAGAATATTAGATTAGCAGACAGGACTTTAAAATAACTGAGATAAATATGTTAAAATATAAAGGAAATGAATATGTTAGGTGAATTGCAAGAGATGTAAGGAAACTCCAAAAGAAAAAAATGTAAATTTTAACACTGAAAAATACCATATCGAAAATGAAAATATGCTGGATTTGCATAATAGTAACTGGGACACCACAGAGGAAAGGTCAGTGAACTTGAAGAAAGGCCAAAAGAAATTATTCAAACTGAAGAACAGAGTGAAAAAAGAGACAATAAAAATAAACACATGATTGAGAATTTCTAGGACAATAACAAGTGATCTGATATACATGCAATTAGGTTCTCATAAAAAAGGATAGAAACAAAATCAGCAAGTTTTTTTTGAAAAAAATAATGGCCCCAAATGGTCCCAATTTGATTAGAAACATTAAACCACAGTTCCATGAAGTTCAGTGAACCTAAAACAGCATAAATACAAAGAAAACCATACCTGAGGATGTCATAGTCAAATTGTTAAAAGCAAAGAGAAAGAGAAAGCTTAATAACAGCCAGAAATAGAAAACACATTATATACAAGGAAACAATGACAAGAATGATGGGTAATTTCTCATCAGGAACAATGCACAACAGAAGACAATGGAAGACAATGGAACAACATCTTTGAAGTTCCAAAAGAATCAACTATCATCATGTCAACCTAGAATTCTACAGCCAGTGAAAATTTCCTTCAACAATGAAGGCAAAACAAAAACATTTTCATTTTCAGACAAGGGAAAGCTGTGATCATGTGTCGCCAGTGGGTCCTCATTCTTATAAGAAATGCTTTCTTGGTTGAAGGGAAATTTTACAGATGGAAATTTGAATTTTTAAAGAAGGAAGATAAGAGCATGGTAAGCCTATGGATAAATATAAAAACACACGACTTGCCCTTGATCACCTCTGCTTCCATCCATATCAGCAACAGTTTATAACACTCTCCACTGTTTTGCTCTTGCTCCATCCTCAGCACAGGTCACTCTCAGAAGATGACCTAAAGTCTGACTTTACAACATGAGGTATAAACCCCTTCAATTCCTTGGTTTTTATGCTCTAATATAACAACAATGATAACCACAGTAACAATGGCTCAACATCTGGGTTCTCATCATTTGCCGGCTATTGTGCTAAGTGCTTTACGTGCCTTATTTATTCCTAATAACCTACATTATGGGTTATGTTCTTTAGTATTCATATGTCACTGAAAACTGTGATATGAGATGGTAAGTTACTTTCCGACTGTCGACAACTGGAAGTGGCAGTCAGGATTCAAAACATATTTGCAAAGTTGTCTACATGTGTCCAGCCTTATCCCCGCATCCCTCCAGGCTCTGGGTATTTGCTCCTTCTCCTGTTCAAAGCAAGCTCTCCTTGGGGTCCTCTTGGCTCTGGTCCTCTCCCTCCAAGTGATGCTCTCTCGGTCATCTCCTTTCTCTTCTGCATCTGAAACCTCTCATTCTCTACTCATTCCTTCCTTTTGCCCAAGAAACATTTTCAAAATTCTCACATCCTAAAGAAGAAAAATCCCTCCCTGTCACTAAGGGGCTCTCTGGCTTTGTGCCCATCTCTCACCTCTCCTCAAACGGTATGCTTTGGGAAAAAGTCTCCAAACCCACAGTTTGTACTTCCTCCCTTCCCACCAATTGTTTGACTAGGGCAGTCTCATTTCTGCCCTCTGCCCATGGAAACTCTGCTTGCTAGGGTTGCCAGTAGCTATTTCATCTCCAAAGTATATGGACGCTCTATAGGCCAGACTGCACTTGATGCACTTGACCATGTTGACTACTCCTCTTCCTTGACACTCTTCCTTCCTTTGCTTTGCATGACACGACTTGTTTCTGGCTTCCCCGCCTCTCTAACTGCTGTTCCTTATTGGTTTCTTGTAGGATCCTCTTTCTTTCTCTGTCCCCAAAATGTTGGTGTTCCCTACTGTTTTGTGTCAGGAGATTTCATTTACTCTCACAGCTTCAGAATAGGATGTGCTGATAGCTTCTCAGTCTACATCCCAGGCCTACCCCTGTCCTGAGCCCCAGATCTAGGTCTCCAGCTGCTTATTAGACATCTCTATCGATCTCTAATCAACATGGTCAAGTGCATCGAAGCCAAACTTGCTTCTTCTATTTTTCCTATCTTGATGAATGGTACCTCCATTTTTCTAGGTGGGGCCAAGCCTCTGGAAGCCCTTCCATGTCTCTCCTCTTCCCTTGCTCTCTTGTCCACTCCCTCGCATCAAATGAATCACTTAGCTGATTACTTTTCACCTGTCCACTTCTCTCCATCCCCAGCAGCACTG